TAGCCACTTTGGTGGGAAATTCAAACCCTCCAATGGGACTAGGGGGTGCTAGGTGGGTGTGTATATAGTTGGCCTTGTCGGGCCGTTAGTTAGTCTGATGTTAAGTACAATAAACGTGTGCAAACGCATGTCGTCGTCCGAGTCCTCCATGCGGCGAACCCAGTACTTTTCAGGGTGGGTACCAGAAGGGACTCCTGGAGGCAGGAGAGTGAGAGAGCACAGCTGGCGGCAACCAGTGGCGAGGGGAGGGTGCTCTGTGCATGCTCAGAGGCACTGATCCCACCGGCAAGCCTGCGGGTACATAAAGGTAAAGGTTTCCCCTTGCTCAAAAGCCAGTCGGTTCCGACTCTAGGGGGCGGTGCTTATCTCTGTTTCCAAGCCGAAGAGGAAGAGCCAGCGCTGTCCGAAGACGTTGCCGTGGTCGTGTGGCCAGCATGACTAAACGCTGAGGCGCACGGAACGCTGTTACCCCTCCCACCGAAGTGGTAGGTTGGGAGCCCGGGGAGAATGGGGCGGGGGAGGGGAGGTCAACGGGTGAAATACCATTAGAGAAGCACCACTTCACGCAGGGAGTGATTAAAACGTGAGATTCATTGCTAGAGGATGTAGTCAGGGGGCCACAAGAAAAAACAGCTTTCAAAGGGGATTAGAGAGATTCATGGAGGATAAGTCTATGGATGGCTACTAGCCATGATGACTACGGGGAACCCTGGTTTGGCCACTGTGTGAGACGGGATGCTGGAGTAGATGGACCCTCCCTGGTCTGATGCAGCAGGGCTCTTCTGATGTTCTTATCAGGGGAAGGCCTCGGCCTCTCTGCTCTGTTGTTGGACCTCCAGAGGAACTGGTTTGGCCACTGTGTGAGACGGGATGCTGGAGTAGATGGACCCTCCCTGGTCTGATGCAGCAGGGCTCTTCTGATGTTCTTATCAGGGGAAGGCCTCGGCCTCTCTGCTCTGTTGTTGGACCTCCAGAGGAACTGGTTTGGCCACTGTGTGAGACGGGATGCTGGAGTAGATGGACCCTCCCTGGTCTGATGCAGCAGGGCTCTTCTGATGTTCTTATCAGGGGAAGGCCTCGGCCTCTCTGCTCTGTTGTTGGACCTCCAGAGGAACTGGTTTGGCCACTGTGTGAGACGGGAGGCTGGACTAGATGGACCCTCCCTGGTCTGATGCAGCAGGGCTCTTCTGAGGTTCTTCTCAGGGGAAGGCCTCGGCCTCTCTGCCCTGTTGCTGGCCCTCCAGAGGAACTGGCTGGCCCCTGTGTGAGACGGGAGGCTGGACTAGAGGGACCCTCACTGGTCTGATGCAGCAGGGCTCTTCTGAGGTTCTTATCAGGGGAAGGCCTCGGCCTCCCTGCCCTGTTGTTGGCCCTCCAGGGGCACTGGCTGGCCCCTGTGTGAGACGGGAGGCTGGACCAGATGGACCCTCCCTGGTCTGACCCAGCAGGGCTCTCCTGATGCTCTTATGTTCATAGAGTCCGTCCTGCAAAGCAGTCCTTTTCTCGGCCGTCTGGAGATCAACTATAATGGTGGGCGCTACCTGGGCCCCAACTGGAGGTTGGCAACCAAAGGAACAACACTCACGTGATAAGGGACCAAAGCCAAGAGGCTCCCCAAGGGGAACTGTGTGAAATCCAGCGTCCCCGTGACCGGCTCGATCCGTCCGTGCTCCTGGGTCATGCCCACTAACCTGTGAAGGAGGACAAAGAACTTAGCATCCCCTTCGGAAGCCGCTTTGCGGTCCTCCTTCCCGCGCAAGCCGGAGAATCCCGCTGCTCACCCACTTATCAGAGCCCTGCTTTTGCCCATCTGGGTTCCTGCTCCAACAACCCCCTCCCCCCGCCCTTGCACACTTTAAAGCCACGAAGAAGCTTTTGTTCAGAGGTGACCAATGAGGATGCACCCAGGAGGGAAAACCCGCGCATGAGCTCTGCATGAGGATCTCGGATGAGGTTCCCAGACCCAGGATCGGGCAAACTGTGGGAGACAGATGTTTGTGGGTTCGGAGCCACCTGGTTTCAGACATCCCGAGAAGCTGCAATTATATGGAGGCTGGGTGGTGCACGTAGGACAATAGCTTCCTGCTGGAAAGACTCTAATCCACCCACAATTCGCCTCTGGGAAATGATGGGACCAGTTCCTTATGGACTGTTTGACAAAACGGGACCCGATACTGGAGTACTTAACCAAAGGAGAATTCATTCCCCCTCAATGGACGCAATTTCAAAAATGGCTGTAAATGTCATTAGGTTTTAACTGATTGAACAAAATACTGTTAGTTATGATGACTTGTGATTCTTCATAAATTTGTGTACTAGTAACTATACTATAAGGAGCTGCCGTGACTCAAGTGGTTAAGACGCTGAACTGTAGGCTGTGGAAGGTCGGTAGTTCAGCAGTTCGAGACCTGAGGGTGCCGCATGACGGAGTGAGCTCCCGTCTCTAGTTCCAGCCAGGGGTCATTTCGTAGAAAAAGAGCTAGGGGAACTCATTAGCATAACTCATTAGCATATGCCACACCCCCTGACATCACCAGAAATGTATCATAAGGCCACACACCCCGCCCCCAACGGTCCCGGCCGCCACTGCCGGCCTT